CTTCAATGGGGGGGGGGGGGTTTGAATATAATCCCTGTTAATTAAAATGTGCAATAATTACGGTCCCGAAATCCATCATGGTTGTGTTGCCTCCTAACCTGGGCAAGTCTTAAGCTGCCTTTGCATGGCTCAGGTTGGCCACAGGCAGACCATGGCTTGCTTCAAGCACGAGTCAAACGTGGCTTGCGTCTATGACCCCTGGAGCCATCCCAGGAGAAACCACGGCTTGATCAATCGTGGTTAATGGAATCAACCGCCTTGGGTTGGGATTGCACAAGCCTGTAAACCTCCCGCTGCTTAGGAAGCATGATGGCTTGCCTAAGCCATGGTTTGGCAAAATGGCCAAAGAAGCTGCCATTGATAAGGTGACCAATCGTCTTCCTTTAGGGAGGACAGCCCTTCTTTTGTACTCATTTAAATAATAGGCATGTAAGCATAATTACAATATAAAATGTTATTGTTACAAATGTTTTTTTATTATGCATTTATCATATTATAGTGTATGCTGTATTGTTGCAATGAATAAAATGTTTTATTTATGATATTCTTCTCTGCGATTTGTGTCCTTCTCATTGTAAAAAAATTGGTCACCTTAGCCATTGATGGCTTTCCTTCCCTGCACTTAACAATTATTCATTTAGTGAATCTATTCGTTTTTGTCCTCAGAGGCTCTCTTTCCATCACGAAACGGGAGACAAACACCGGAAGGAAAATACACAGGCATCTTTTATTTACAGGAGAGGAACATTGGAAAAAAAACAAAACACAGCTCAAACAGTTAACACAAACACCACAATGAGGGGCTGGGGGGAGGGTCCATATTGCTCGGACTGAGCCCTGAGGTGGGGAGAGGGAAATCCTCGGTGTGTGGTGGGGGGTCCCAGGACCCTTTCTCCGAACAGAAATACGGCACACCCCACTTTCCACAATGGGGGGGCCCTTAAACAGTTAAAGCATGTGCCACAAATGGGAGGGGGGAGGAACAGGGAAAACAGCGGGAGGGGCTCTGTAATAAATAAATTTACAAAATAGCTTCTTTTCAGTTTATGTTTCCTTCCCCCCCCCCCCCCCCCTAACACTGACGGGTAAAAATAACACTAAAAACAAAACACAAAGCAAGCCCACCTTGGACGGGAGGGGCGGCGGAGGGCTGCCCCCTCCCCAATGAACCCCCCCTCAATGAACTGGGAGGGGTGGAGGGGAAGGGAGAGGGTGGGGGGAGCGACCAGAGAGCCTTGTCCTTCATTGGGTGGGTGGGGCTTAACTATGCCCACCCCCCACCCCCCAATTCTGCAACAGACACTGTGCACGAAAATTGACATTTACAGGGGTGAAGATCCAAATTTGAGAGGGGGGGGGGAGGAAGAAAGAGAATTGGTGCGTGGGGGTGTGTATGGGGGAGTCTGAGCTCCTAGGCATGTGCAAAGTGCAGTGCTGGCCCGAGAACGCCCCCTCCTCTCTATTTCACTTTTTTCAGAGGAAGAGGGCAACTCAGCTCCAAGGGCCAAGAGGAAGGGTCTCCTGTTCTCCATCCTGGGGGCCCCTGACCCCCCCCAAAAGGGCCAAGGGGTGCTGGAAACAGCCTAGGGAGCTTGGCTGTGCCCCCCTCCCAGCCTCCCCTTCCCCAAATTTGGTATCAGCTCCAGTTTTATCCTCGGTTTCTTTGTCCCAAGCAGCAGCAGCAGCAGGAGAGGCAGAGATGAATGGGTTGGGGGGCAGCCCCCCCTGCAGCCCCCTCTGCTAGCACTCCAGGTTGGCCCCGAAACTCTTCCGGCAATCGATGGCCTTGGTGGTGAGGGGCTGGGCCCTCTGCTGTTTGAGGGGCTCCTTCCCCATGCTGCTGGCCAGCTTCGAAAAGGCCGACTTGTACTTCTTGTCAAATTCGGCTGTGGGGAGAGAAAAAACGGGGTGTGTGTTTGTGTGTGTGTTTCAGAAAGATCACGGCTTGCGCAGGCAGACCTTGACTTACAACCATTGGTTTAGCGACCGTTCAAAGTTACAAGGTGCTAGTCCTCATGGTAAGAGATCCTAATGGCGTTATTTCCCCCTCCCCTTTTTATAATACAAACTGGGCACGGGCAAGGTCCGAGTCCTCATGGTGGGAGTAGCATCCCCCCCCCTTTTATAAAGCACACCAGGCAGAGGCAAGGTTCTAGTCCTCCAGGTGGAAAATCCTGATGCCGGTCCCCCCCCCGTTTTTATAAAACATGCTGGGTGCAGGCAAGGGTCTAATGCTCAGGGCGAGAGATTCCAGTGGCTTTTTTTTTCTTTCTCATTTATAAAACACACTGGGCCCAGGCGAGGTGCTAGTCCTCAAGGAGGCAGCCTGACCCAAAGTCCCAAAGGGACGAATTCCAAAATACTACAGAGAGGCCATCCTTCTCCTCCCAGCCCTCCAACGTGTAGGGCCTCCTTCTCCCTCCAGCTTCCTACCGATGTCCACACGTTCCCTGCCCAGCGCGGCTATTTTCAGAAAGAGAAATTCACGGTAAACACTCCTGAAACAGAGATAAAAATGGAATCATTGTCAGTATCTGCAGAGGATGCTCTTTAGAAAGTCGCTTTACTTTTTTCATTTAACAAAACTAAGCCTTTTCGGGGGTAACGGGCTGGACCCAGACATAGGAGAAGAAAGCCTACCTCCGTAAGAGCCCAGGGCTGGCACAATCTGCCACTTTTTCTATGAAGAGGACGATGGCTTTGTGGATCTCGCCCAGGCCAAGATAGTTAATGACGGCTTCCAGGAAGGAGAGCGAGAACGGGTGGTTATGCTTGCGCCAATTCTGCAACCGTGTGGGAATCTGGCCTGGGAAAGGAAGAAGACTGGCATAAGAATCCAGAATGCCACCTCTGTTCACACGTGGCTACCTGAGGACCGGACGGCACCGATGCCCATCTTGTCTATTACGGCTAGTCAAATCCGTCAGGACCTCCACGGATCAGTTACGCCGGCTGAACGACCACAAAGGGACGTTTTGCATCCCAGGAGGGTCCACAGAGGTCGACCGGAGAAGAGTCAAATAAAACCATCCCCATCGAAAAGGACTGTGTTATCAAGGTTCAAGGGAACGACGGACTGTACTCAGACGCACCATGCAGCCTCCAGAGAACGTAGAGAGGGGGAAAGCTGTCGGGATCGGAACTCAGCACGTCCCAGAGCAAGCGTACGTTGACGAAAGGGCCCTCCGGAGTCGGCACCTGGAAAAGAAAGGGAAGCAGAACGGTTTGAGTTTCTCAATCTTGTGAACTTTTAAGGCAGGTAGGCTTCAACTCCCAGAATTCCCCAGCCAGCTGGCTGAGGAATTCTGGGAGTTGAAGTCCACCTGCCTTAAAAGTTCACAATGTTGAAAAACACTGAAAATCTCTGGATTCTGATTTGCATTTCTCCTCAGGTGCTGGTTCTGTTTTCAGGAGAAATGTGTGGGAAAGGATCCCCTCAAGGTCATACAGTCCAGCTCCCTGCCTCCTGCAGGAACACCATTCTGAAGAGTTGGCTTTTCTTCAAAAGCTCCCGAGATGGACCTCTGTCCCAACTCTCTTTTCCTTTGGGATGTTCTCGAGATCCCTCCTCAACCTCGCCTCCCTTGCAGGGTTGTTGCGTAGGAGAGATGGGTTACCTGGGAGGCCGTCTGGACGTGCTTGGAAGCCAGGAGCAGCTGAGGCAGGCCGCTGCAGAGGCCCAGCCGCTGGAAATACCACACCAGGTTCCAGTAGATGATGGGATGGTTGTCCACCAGCTCTGGCTGAGATAAGAACACGGCTCCCTCGTTCTCCAGGAGGGTCTCCAGCTCCTTACGCAGGACCAGGGGGCTGAGGTAGGCAAAAGCCAGCTGTTCCACGTGGGTGGCAGGACCCTGAGGCACCTGGGAGAAAAAGGAGGGGCCGTAACTCCCCATCAGCCCCAGCCAATCCCCAGGAACATGGGAGTTGTAGTCTCAGACTCCGTGGAGAGAGATTCAGTTGTTCTTTCTCAAAATCCTCATTTAATGACGTTACTTGGGGCCAGAAACTCCCATTGTTAAGCAACGTGGTCATAAAGCCATAAAACCCATCCCAAATCTGTTGTTTCCAGACAGGGAGAAACGTGGGCGTCTGTACCGGGGGTTCGCTGAAGCCGTTGCATAGGGACCCGTTCCTGGATTTCCGCCGGGGATCCGTCTCTGCCTCGTCCAGCAGGAGGCATTGGGACCGATCGCTGAGCACCGGGCCTTGGCCCCCTGGCAAGGGGGCTTCGTTGTCCCGGGGCCAGTCTGAGGACACCGAACTTGTGTCAGAAGCATCAGCATTGCTGAAAGGGAATGAAGAGCTTTGAACACAGTGCAGATGGCTCAAGCAAGCGAGCCAAGTTACAGGAGGGGTCAAACCCCCCCCCCCTGCATGTACGTCTTCCTTCTCATGATACATTTAACTTGGTTAATGCATTAACCCGTCTTTTGGGTTCACATTTGTATGATCTTAACCACACACACACACACACACAAACCCAACAATCCACCACAACCCTAGTCAAGACAATAAGGTCAAGGGGGGGCCCATTGGCACTCAGGCAGTGTGGAAACAGTCAGGTGTAAGATCAAGATGTCAGAGGTAGGAACAATAAGCATAAGCATAATTAGCACTCGGACCTGAGAGAAACCATCTGGAAATCTTGAATCTCGATGCTGAGGAAGGGCACAAAGAGACGTCCGCAAAAGGGGCAGGTGGTGTTCAGGTTGGAGTCGTCCGAACTCCACCCGGCCATCACCTCTTCGTCGTACACCAGCAAGTTGCAAGCTTGGCATCGTGAACAACTGGAAAGAATCACCTGGAAGGACAAGAGAATCGTTCTGTGCGGGAAAACGGTGGGAACGAGACAAGGACTCCCGGGAAAGGACGCGGCGGATCACGCGGAAAGATACCTCAACTGCCGGAGGCTCCGACAACCGATCACTGGATTTCCGGAGGTTGAAACTGCAGACGGACGTATCCGAGAGATCGTACTCGCTACCCAGAGAGGCCGAACTCTGTGGTAGGAAAGAGCGGGTTACGTCGAGAAAAAGGACCTGCGAGAAAAGATCAGGAGGACTCCTTCCGCACAGGATACCGACCTCCGAGGCTGTGGATCGTGGACGTTCCGGGGGGAGCAGCAAGTGACCCTCCAGCGGACTCTGGCGAGAGGAGTATTCTCGGTGCTCGGATCCGCCGCGCCCGTGGGAGAGCTCCCCGCTGGAACCGTGCTTCAGAGACGGTCGCTTAATGGGAGACAGAAACTGCTGAAGTTTGGCGGTCAGACTCCGGCGAGGGGTACTCCCCAGGCGACGGTTTTCAATAGCCTGGCCTGACCCTGGAGTAGCTCCCTCTGGTTGTCCGGTCTCCACGCTGCTCAGTGTTAACCTGTCACTCTCGTCCGTCAAGAAACTGCTGATGTCAGAAAGACTGCTGCCCTCCGAGCTTCCAGGCCCATCCCGTGCACCGCGCAGCCAGGGAGGAAGTGTTGACAGTGTATTATTGCTTTCGGCTCTGGGACTACCCAGCGTTTTCCCGGCTGCAAGTAAGATTTTAAAATGTTGCCATTTAAACATGATTCCCCCCCCCTTGTTGGATAACAAAGACCCCTCCTCTGGAATTCAGACTCACCTGGGATTATGCCCACCGGCGTTTCCTGTTTGGGAAAAGTCAGGCTGCCGCTCTTTGCGAGGGAAGCAGGTTGCGGATTCTCTCGTAAGCTGCTCCCGGACCAGGTGGTCTGCCGCTGCAGGCCGGTGCGGGGTTGATATTTGGGGGGTTTGGCTTCTTTGCTGTCTGCCGGTAAAAAACAAAAGAAGCCCCCCCCTCGCTTTGAGAGATACATGGTGTTTATCTGAGCTACTGTTAAGTTATTGTAATTAGATAAGAGGCATCACAGCCCTCAGCTGCATAACGGCGGAGAAAGAGGATCGGAAGGGATCCTCCCAGTTTTTCAGGCCGGGAGTTGAGGTCCACCCCTCTTAAAGCCTGCTGGCTGGAGAATTCTGGGAGTTGTAGTCCACCCCTCTTAAAGCCTGCTGACTGGGGAGATTGTTGGATGGAGGATAAGTTGAGCCTCGCCTGTTTTCAGAGCTGTACCTGTTGGAAGGCCGAAACTCTGCGATTCTACCTCCTGCTGCTGGCGCTGACGCTGGCGCAGAGGCTGCCGGAACTGGGCGGCCCCCAGGACGACGTTGCGGAGCTTGGCCCAGCGAAGACGGCCACCATGGCTACTGGACGGCCACTTGCACTCCAAAATGGCCTACGGCGAAAACCATGCTAAACCCAGGAGAAGGTGACTTGAACGGAGAAATGAGGAGGTCGTGGGGTGGAAATACCTTGTTGTAATAGCCGTAGGTAATGGTGTTGGGGACGATCCCGGCCCGTTTCATTTCCAGCATGACTTGGACGGAGAGTATCGGTTGCCCGTACTGGCCGCAGAGCTGCATCAGGATACGGTAGCACACCTGTGAAGGAGAAAGGGAAGGGGGCATGGATGCCCGTTTCCCGCCGTTTAAGGGAAGCCGAGAGTGAATTCCTAACTTAGGAACTATTTTTTATTCCATTCTATTCCATTCCATTCCATCTCCATTCCATTCTTCATTCCGTTTCTAATTCTATTCTATTCTATTCTATTCTATTCTATTCTATTCTATTCTATTCCCTATTCCTATCCGTATTCTATCCCATCAATTCTAATTCTAGTTCTAATTCTAATCACAACATCGGTTTCAGTCGGAACCGTTCCGTGGAAGAACGGGCTCTCACCTCGTCCGGCAGGACCACCTCTTTGGTCTCCATCTGTTTCAGCACCTCGTATGCGACGTGCAGCGCTTGTACTTTTGGGGCCACCATTCGGACGTAGGCAGGCAGCGTGATAAACCACAAAGCGTAGCAGTGACCCAGCAGGCACTTAGCCCACATATCCGGCACGGAGGAATATTTCTGCGCAACTTTCTGGGCCACCTTAATTTCCTAAAAAAAGGAAGGGGGTTTAATTTCAGGGTTTTTTTTTAAGAAAAGCTGATAAAAAAATCGACCTTGGCTGGGACCGGAGGAACTCGGGACTGATTTGTATGTGGACGGGAGACCACCAAGAAATCCCCAAACAGAGGGCTGGATTGCAAAATTAAAAAAAGGCCTGGCAATTTTTACCTGCTGGGTCCGGCGAGGGGCAGGGCTGCTGGGGGCGCTGGTGCGGGCTTGGCACAGCGGGGGCATGAGCTGGTCCTGAGGCCGCTGAAACAGCTTGGTCTGGAGCATGGGGAAGCCGTCATATCTAAATAAATAATATTCCTGAGCCAGCATGGGGGAACTATGACCCCCTTCATGACTCGTGGACTTCAACTCCCAGAATTCCTGAGCCAGCATGGGGAAAACTTTGGCCCCTTCATGACTCGTGGACTTCAACTCCCAGAATTCCTGAGCCAGCATGGCTCAGCTTGGAAACCTCTCCCTTTCCCCTCAGCATGGCTGGCTCAGGAATTCTGGGAGTTGAAGTCCACAAGTCATAAAAGAGCCCAGGTTGCCTACCCCTGGCCTAGATCTTCTTTCTTTTTTCATTGCTATTGTTAACTTCGGTCACTAAACGAACTGTCGTAAATTGAGGACTTGCTATGTCTTCCCGGCTGAAGGCCACCAGGCTGAGACACTCACTGGTAACTCGGCGGAAGCTCCAAGCCGTTGGGCCCGGTGGGCTCTTCCGGGGGCATAATAAACACGGTGTGTTCGCTGCCCTGGACGTCGTCCAGTTCAATTAGTGGAGCTTCCTCTGCTTTCTCTAAATCCACCTGCACCTGAGTTGAAAAATTAAAAAAAAAAAAGGGAAACCCCACTTAACCAGTGTCTCGCTTAGTGACAGAAAATTGGGACGCCACTGTGGTCTACCCATAGTTGCTTTTTCTTTCTTTCTACAGCGACGGAGGGGTTATTTCCTAACCCTTGCAACCAAGGCGTAAGTTTTAAGGACGGCGAGGGAATAATTTTGGAGTGGAGTGTCGCCTCCGTCCCTTTTTTTTCCAGGGTGCGTCCAAAATCAACCCCCACAGAGAGTCATTAATTAAAATAAAACCCAATTCAGATCCCCTTCCAGCTACCTTGTCGACACAAGAATCGAAAAACTCCAAGCAAGCGTGGCGGTCACTGACGAAAGAGCATTCCTCTATAAACTGCGTGAAGAGCTGCGTGCGCAAAAGCTGCCCGTAGAATTTGTGGTAGGCTCGCTCGCGGGACTTCAGGAAGCCTGTACGGGATGGAGCAAGCGAGAGAGGATTAGCGCTCACGACAGTTTTTGTAATTATTCTCACCTCGGGTTCCCATGGAGCGACGACAGCAAAGGAAAGGGAGCGGGGAGGGATGAGGAAAACACGCGCAACAATTCCTTCCCAGGCCAACTTTTCTCTACAGGGTGGAATGGATCCCTAAATTAAAAGTTCTTCTTCTCTGTATCCTTATCCTGGCTCCCTGCCTTGTTTTGCGTCTCTGTTCCTGCAGCCGCCATTTTTAAAGAGGATTTATTTTTAAATCCTTTGTGCCCGAGGAAGAGGCTTTCTCTAAAACGAGTAAATCATCACCCCAAGCGGAAATGAATCTACACCTTGCAGGAAAAACAGACTGCTGGAGTCCCGGGTTTTCTCCGAAGGGGCCTGGGTGATGGGTCGGAGGTAGCTACGATAGCCTTTCAGCAGACAAGCCATGAATCGTAGAAACGCCCCTCGGATGTCCAGTTCCAGCTGTTTCCGGCGCCCGTAAATGAGGTCGTAGTCGGTCAGCAGGAACTCCAAGGAGGCCTCCTCCACAGGACGGTTGTACACTGCGGAGGAAGGACCGAACCGTCGGCTACAAATGGCCACACCAAAACCAGCATTCGCCAAAGTTATGCCCGTCAATTCCAAAGGTGGGCAGGTTTTAATTCTGGTTTAATATTTTGCAAGGGGGGGGGCTGCATCAAAGGGAGTGAAGTTGGGGCTCGGAGAACCTCTGGCAGGTACTACAAAGTGGAATATAGTAGGGGGTTGGACTAGATGACCTCCAAGGCCCCTTCCAACTTTTATTATTATTATTATAACATAAATCTACCGAACTACGGATCATGGACTCCTCAAACACCGCAAAATGTCATCGTTATGTTGCAGTTGAGTGTCCCCTTCTACTACTTTTCTCTTATCGGGGGTCCGTGCCCACCTGCCCTCCGAGGCTTTATGACACCCCCGCCAAGACCGTGGTGACTTACTCTCATCCAGTTGTTGGTAGTGGGAGTTTAACGACGCCAGCAGCACTTTACACGGCTTCCGGGGTAGAGAGCGTGACGACAACAGCTTCCGCTCTTCGCACCTGTGCACACAACAAAGCTGCCCCTACGATTAGTGCCTCCTGCTGGGGTGCCCGGGAATGCTAGTATCACCCCTCCCTACCCCCTGCATGCTTATCCGGGGACTCCTCCCTGCCCCGCTGGTTAGGGGTTCAAATGGAGACACATCAAGGAAAGCTGAGCAATTCTGGAAAAAAAAATTGAACGCCCCGAGATGGAAGGAAGGGTGAGAAAGAAACTCAATGCAGCCTCATCTTGATCTTCCTTAGTATAAAAATAGCACAGGAAAAAAAACTTAGGCTTTCAAAAGTCTGCTGTTCTAGTCCTTGACGACTGAGCCCCAATTTTCTGTTGTTAAGTCAGACATTTAAGTGAGTTTTGCCCCATTTTGCGACCTGTTCAGTGAATCTGTTTAGTGCCACAGCTGTTAAATCAATCTGGCTTCCCCAGTCAGCACGTCTCACTTAACAACCTGGAGTCTGTTCACCCCCCCAAGGTGGCAGGATGAGGACACTCACTGGAAGATGGTGTTGGTGTCCAGGTCCACGCAGATGACGTCGTGCGGGGGGTCGTAGAGGTCGAAGTAACTGGAGTGGACCCCCACGATGAAGGGCACGGGGGCACACAGCACATCGGCCAGGGTGAGCGGGCAAAGAGGGATGTACGGGCACTGCCAGCACAGAGGGAAAATCATCTGGAGGGACAAACACAACTGGTTTGTGTGTGGGTGTTTGTGTTGAAGCTTCATTATGAACACCCACACATTCACAACTCGGAGCTGACTGAATATTTCTTAAAAACAAAGCATGAGATTATAATAAGAACAACCTACGTGTGTAAGTATATAACATTTCACACCTGGCGTGTCCAACCTGGCCAACTTTTAGGACCTGTGGACTTCAATTCCCAGAATTCCCCAGGCAGCCTCGCTAGGAGCAGCAGCTGTAGATCAACAAAACCCTGTATATCAATTCTGGAGTGGTTTGTATTTGATAAAGAATAAAGATACCATCTGCAATGGCATAGCATCAAAGGAAATAAACACGGGGAGGGAGAGGAAAAAAAAATTTCCAAGCTTAATTCTTAACCCGAGTTCAAGAGGTTACACAAGGAAACTGGAAAAGGGAGATCAAGGTGCTTCTGTATTTATGCAATTTGTTGGCTGAGGAATTCTGGGAGTTGAAGTCCACAACTCTTAAAGTTACCCAGATTGGACATCCTTGTTTTACACACAATTCACCGCAATCGTCCGCCCAATAATTTATGCCGATAATCAATGCATCCGTGCACAGTTTTCCAAATGACCGTTCCAATTTGGGGAGACTGGTCTTCTTAGCCAAGGAACGGTACACAGAGACACCCCCCCCAATTTTTCTCTGCATTCTTGAGGTTCCCCTTCCCCAGTCTTCCGGCTTCAGGGCAACGGACACTAACCGAGACCAACGCTTCTCCGATGCTGGTCAAGACGTCCGGCTGCAGGGAATGGATGAGCAGCTTCTGTTCGGTCAAGACGGCCACCATCAGGGCCACGGCGTGTTCGGGGCCCAGGGTCTGAAGGAGGGTGAGAAAGCTGGCCCCACTGCGAAGAGAGGGGGAAATTCTGAATTTTCCGCCGGCAGAATCTGGACGGGATTGGGGTTTGTCCTGTCCCGTCCCATCCTTACCTGATAGGTAACGGGGACGAGACAGGTTGGCAAAGAAGCAGATTGTCATAGGGCGACATCTGAGGAGCGAAAAAAAGAGGGAGGGTTTGAGATGGAGGAGCTGATCCACGACACAACATCTTGCGTCAACACACAACTGAAAAGTGCATTTCTTTCCCGCGCTCCAATTTGCACCCGGGAGAAATGCACCGAGGGCGTCACCAATGAGACGCAAACGGGGAATCGTTTTGGAGAAATAAAAACTGATGGTGGGGCAGAAAATTAGGAATATATCCCCATCAGTCAATTGCCAATGGCAGCTTAGCTTGGAACAGCTGATATCCTGTGAGGAGACCTTGAATATTATTAAATAAAAACGATTGCTAAAAGGTAGATGAAACTGCGACATTCAGTCTAAACATAAACCACCATAATACTATCGGCATTGACAAAAATCAAGACTGGTCAATTGCCAAAGCCAAGCTCGGCTTGGAGCAGCTGACATTCTGCGGTTTAACGTTATTATCTGATTTATTAAATAAAGCATTAAATAAAAACATCTGCCTGTCCCAGGTCCTTGGGAAGGACTTGAGGTGGATCAAAATGACAAATCCAGGCTAAACATCTGGCTGACGGTGCAGACAAGCATCATCATAATAATCTGGACTCCAGAAGGGGTCCAGCAAAACACAAGCCAAGTTCCTTTCCTCTTTCCCCAAATCCACGAGATTCCCATCATCCACCTACAGATCGGGCTCCAGGGCTTCTACTCACCTGGACCAAGATCCGAGGTCTCTGCGGGGACGGGAAAGGGACGTTGTGCATGAAATGAGAAATATGCCTAGGGGGAAAAAACAACCACAACATAGAAGTCACCAGAAAGGAAATAGTTCAAAAATAACAACCCTGTTTTGTAAATGCCAGCGATCTCGGTTTGTGGTTGTCAATGGGATGTAGACACAACACGGGGGCGTCCCAGGGATGAGGTTTGGGCCACTTGCGCGAAGCCAGTAGGGTTTAGCCTGGAGAACCGTTTGTTTCTGCCGAATGAACCTCCAAAGCCGGGCACAGTCTATCTGAGAATGCCATCGCAAACACGCGTGGGAAAAAGGAAGGCTGGTTCCTTCAACAGCCTCCTCTGTGGGCTTCCTCGGGGTCCCCTTTCCAGCCTCCTCCTCCCCCCACCCTCCCCACTTACGCCTCAAGGGGCAACACGTGGGGTCCGGAGATGCTGTAGCGGTAGAGGAAGGTGAGGAATTTGCGGAAGACGTCAAAGAAAGGCCAGTGAGACAGGACGCAGATGCTCTTCCGGGTCTGCACGGACTTGTTGGTGATGGGCCGCCGGTCCACCACGGTGAGGAGGTTGAGGCACACGGACTGCCGGTCGGTGAGGCGTTCCCGGGGAAAGGACTCGTAAAACTGCATGGCAGCCCCGTAAACCTGGAGTAAGGGGGGAGAGAGGAGAGGGGTGCCGGTTATTCCGGGCACACCTCACCTCGAGTGAGTGACAGGAAGATCTAGGCTTCTGTGTTTTGGGGGGCTGCCCCGGACTGGTCCAGGGTAACATGGGTTACCTTGTCCCCGGAAGCACCAGTCAACACGAAGGTGGAGAAGATGGGAAGCTGGTACTTGGTCTCGGCCGGCCAGCTCTCGATGGTGGCCCCCATGGGGAGGCAGAAGACGGGCACCGATTCGGGGAGGGGGAAAACCTCGTTGTCCTCCTCCGGGTAGCGGCTGAGGAGACCTGGGGAGTGAGAAAAGAACCATCTTGGCTTAAAAGAAGCAAGTTTACAGGAGGGAGGGTTTAGACAAAGGTGTTTCTCAAAGTTGGCGTCTTTAAGATGGATGGACTTCAACTCCCAGGATTCCTCATGGGGGGACTTCCAACTCCCAGAATCCCCCAGCCAGCCTGCTTTAAGAGGAGTGGGCTTCAACTCCCAGAATCCCCCAGCCAGCGTTCTGAGTAAATATCATGGTCCTTGATATTTATGTTTATTTCGAAGCATAATAGCAATTTCCAGTCTCTTAAACCAACAGGATATATTCAGTTATTCATAAGAAACTAGCAATTCCTGCAGAATTATAAGGTGTGGGATGCTTTTAAATCTTTATTCTGGTTCCATTCTGAGGCCGGTTGAGCTATTTATTTAAAATACTGAATTAAAGGAAAAATAAGAAATAATGTATGGTGAAGAGGTGGAAGCGTAATTCTCTTTCTCGGCCTCTCCCTTGACTGCTCTGCTGTCCGTGCTTCGGCAAACTATGGGATTGACTACTTCATCCCTAGCTTTGTGGGCCTGGCCTTGTAGACTGGGCCCAATCAAATTCTTACCTGCTTCGTAGACCAGGGTGTTCCCTTTAGCGAGCGCCATCTTGTAACAGATATAGAGGGCTGGACCCCACTGTGGGGAGAGAGGAGCATAAGATGAGGTGTCAGCTGAATGAAGAAGCAGATGAGATGTGACAAACAGGCTGTCTGTCCATCTGCCTTGTCCAAGCAGACACAAAAGCAGGAACAGAACTCCCTGCTCTCCATAAAACATCATGGAGTTGTTCCTCCCCCCTTGCTATGGGAGGGGGGGTTTAAGAGTTTCCAAGACTGGGGTCCTCTCTGGGTGTTCAGACCACCCCTCCCAACACCCATAGCCCTGTGAGATGCGAGGGACTTTCGGGAACTGCAACATCCGAAGCATCTGGACAAATCGTCCCTTCACCCAGTCCCCGACTCACCATCCCGGCGTTGAGGTTCCTGTCCACCCGGCAGAAAGTGTGGGGCGTGCTCTCCCCTTTGCTGGGCATGATAAGGCAGATGTCCATGATCCCCAAGGCGCTGTACGCCTGCCCCTCGCTGGCCCGCCGGTACGTCAGGAAAGTGTGCTGGTGACCAGGCGCTCCCGAGGCCAGGTTCGCCGAGTGGCTGTACGGCGTCGTGTCGATGATTTTGTAGCCCGGTTTGGGCTGGTCCTTCCCACCATAATGCACCCTAAAGAAGCCAAACAAGGTCACCCTCCTGGGGAATGGGATAGGGAGTCCCTCTCGGGCGGGAATCCTGGGAGTTATAGTACGGCATTCTCTCCCAAAAGGACACGACAGGATAGCTCTTCTCGGCTCGTGCCGGATCCCTCCCAAACCCTCCGCAACCTACCCCAGTTCCACAACGGGGGGTTTATCCCGCCCCCGCCGGTAGCAGATGAACATCTGGGGGTTGTTCAGCAGGCTGGTGTTGAGCTCCACCGGGTGCCCCGCGGTGGTCCGATCGATGCAGGTGAAGCCGTGGGGCACCTCTTCGCCTTGCGAGCGGACGATAACGGCCACATCCACAATGGGCTCACTCGGGCGGACCGGACGGGAGGCCTGGCTCTCATCCTCCAGCGATTTGGAGGTGTCCACCAGGCCGGCCACCACGAAGTAGTCCACCAGCTGGGGGGCCCACTCCTCCGCCATGGCGGGGGCTCACGGCATCTGCAGCAAGGCAAGGAAACGAGAGGGTGATGCCAGGAGCTGGAGGACACCACCCCATAGGCCGCCTGCCTGTCCAGGCAACGGCGGAAGGTCCGTGCGGAACGTTGGAGGGTCCGGTTGCCATGGAGGACCTGGGAGACCCTTCCCCTCGTCCTTCCCACTTCCTAGCCAGCTTTCTACTTCAATCAAGTTTGATTCGAATGCCAGGCAGCAGAAACAGTTGGGTTACGTTTCCATCTAACGATATTAAAAAGTTTAAAAAGAAGCTTAAGGAGCATTTGGTTTTTTTAAAAAAAACAACGAAAAAGGGGGAGGAAGAAAGGGAAACGTGAAAAAAAGAAATTTAAACAGTAGTCTTCTTTAAAAAGAAAAAATTAAAAAGGAGGAAAAGGCCTGTTAAAAAGAGTTTAAAAAGAAGTCTAAAGAACATTTGGTTTTTTTAAAAAATGAAAAAGGGGAGGAAGAAAGGGAAACGTGAAAAAAAGAAATTTAAACAGTAGTCTTTTTTAAAAAAAAAATTAAAAAGGGGGAGAAGGCCCGTTCAAAAGAGTTCAGAAAGAAGTTTAAAGAGTGTTTGTTCAAAAAAATGAAAAAAGGGGAGGAAGGAGGAAAGGGAAAGGCCAAACCGGAAGCCTAAAAAGGAGCATTCATTTCAAAAATTAAAAAAAAAGGGGGAACAGAATTCGAAAAAAGCGGAAAAAAAAAAAATTAAAATTCAAAAATCAAAAAAGGGGAGAAGCACGGAAGTCTTTTCTATCGAAATACGTTCAAGAAGAGTGAAAAAGGAAGTTTAAAGTTGTTTTTTTTAAAAAAAGAGAGAAAAAAATTAAAATAAAACCGTCCTGTCTTCGAATAAGTCGGCAAGGTTTGCTTTTGATCGTCACTGCCCCTGCCCAAAACGGGACTCCAGTTCCCATCGCTCCAACAGCCAAGAATCATGGGATCTGGAGTCCACCCCCCCCGCCTGGTTGAGGCTGCTGGGCACTGCTCTTTCCTCCTCCGGACCAACGCCTCTTCCTTTCAGGTGTCAACCTGTGCCAACTGACCGACTGACCGGCACTCGGTGCCTCCTGTGCCTGGATGACCGCTGCCCGCCCGGCTGAACCCCAGATGCCACCTCCAACTTCCCAAAGCAAAGGGGGAACACACAATACCTAGCTGCCCAGGGCGAACGGGGGTCCTCAGTGCCTTTCGAACTCGCTGCCCCGAACCGGTGGGTCTTCAGCAGAGAAAAAGCGGCAACAACTCGGATTGTGATTTTTTTTTTTTTGCAGCGAACGCAAAACGCCGGGAAGGGCTGGGCGAGTGAGAACAGGAAGTCCCCGTTTCTCATTTCTTGACTTCGCTAAAAAAGGAATATATATATATATATATATATATATATATATATATATATATATATATATATATATATATATATCTTCCCTCCACCCCCCCCTCTGAGATTTATTCAGAGTAAAAGTCACGTTTTCTCCAACCGAGCTTTTCGCTTTGTGGTTCAAAAACCCGACATCTGCCATGAACTCTGCGCGTGCTCAGAGGCATGCAAAAGACACGCTGGGGCAAATCCCAGGGTGAAGAAAAAGAGCTGGAAAAACAGAAGAAAAAAAAAAAAAACCAAAGCGAGGAAAATTAAAAAGGGGTCATTTAAGGAGACGGAGAGGACCAACATTCCCGGCGGATTGAAAAATTTGGCGTTGGCAAAGAGAGAGAGGTGCTTTTCTCCTTGAAGGGCTACCTTTCTGCTTGCGGGGAGCAGATTTTTCAAGGTGGGCCCTCCCCTTCTCCAAATTAATGGGGTCTCACTTGCTGAAGAACGATAGTAAGGAGATGGGGAGGACAGGCATTCCCGGCTCATTGAAAATCTGGCACTTTTCTCCTTGAAGCGCTACTTTTCTGCTTGCGGGGAGCTGTTTTTCTAATGTGTACCCCCCCTTCTCCGAATTAGTGGGGTCTCACTTGCTGGAGAACAATAGACCATGCGCAGCAAACCCTGAGTTTTCCCCTTCTTCAAGGGCAGATGTCTTATCTGCCTGCCCCTTTGCCAGTGCCAAAGAGTCACAATGCTATTTTGGGGTCTGGCACAACGACAATTCACACCTCCGCCATCACCTGGCTGGGGAAAACAGGAACAGCACCGCAACTGTCCCCAACTGACCGACACCTTTTCGGCCTGCGGCAAAATAATTTGTTATACATATTTATCATTTCACGTTTGCTTGTTTAATTTATATTTCACGTTTGTCTGTTTTATTCTGCAAAAAGACAAAACGGAGCCCTCCACCCCAGATAATGGGCTACCAGCTCTACCCTTTGAATTCCTGCCTGTGTGCCAGGCACCCAGGAATCTGCCCATTCCCGACAACTTCGGACTTCCCCGCACTCAATTCTTCCTGTTGCAAAAAACTATTTGTGCCTAGTTGGCAATCAGACTAAAACAACAAGCCACGATGTGCGTCTCTCGGGATGCATCGAAAGCAGAGGAAGGGAAATTCTGGGGTCAAAGGGGGGGGGTTATTTTCCACCCCTCTCTGCAAAGTCTGCGTGTTCCCCCAGATGATGGGGTCAAAAACACCTGCAGGTAGACAACTAGCAAGTCCAAGAAAACGGCTTAAGTTTCCGTTGCGTTGACATCAACTTCCGGCGATGGGGAAAACACACAGCAAGCCACAGATCCGAGGCTGCAGAGACACACCCTGCATTAAACCCCAATGCTCAGAATGGTGGTCACCCCAAACTTTTGGGGTGTCTAGTCTACCTCTTAGTCCTTACCCCAACCCCCAAACCTGCCTGCAAAAGGCAGCAATCTCTCACCAAGCACCCACATCCTGGTTGGTACCCGCCTTTGACGGAAGGTAGCCACCATCCGGCTGTGTACCCCAGCCACAAGTTTACGCCGATCCTGGCTTACGGCTGATCTGCCTGCGCTCTCCTTGCGAGGGAGGCCAGCCTGCAAACTTTAATTTTTTTTTAAACACACTCAAACCTGTAAAGGTCTTCAGCTGCCTTGACTAGGGAGGATCCCCCCCCAAAAAACAACCTCTTTTTAATCAAATCGGGTTTTTATTTCTTCCAAGAGTGTCGCACGCTCAGTTTCTGCACACGGGACGGGGAGCAGATTCTGCCCCGAAAGACACTGGGGCGTGGCGCAGATTTGGCAGAAAAAGCAGGTTTTTACTGGCAAAAAAAAAAAAGAGTTTTAGCCGGAGGGGGTCACTTACGGTGTCCAGAAATGGGACGAAGCCAGGAAGGAATTTGAATGTTTGCACTTCCCTTTTTTCCCCCATATGGACGAAAAGTGAAAGTAAGAAAAAACAAGCCCTCCTCACGACATGACAGACGGGTGTGTAAGAGAGAGAGGGGAGTGCAAGACACGGAGGCCGTCCCTCCCCACCTCCCCAGCGTGTGGACGAACCGTGATTAGAGACGGTCCTCCATTTATGACAATAACCGGGCCCAAAATTTCTGTCGCTATGCGAAACGTTTAAGTTTTACAACCTTTCCTGCCACAGTTGACAAGTGAATCACATCAGTTAAGTTAGTAAGTGTATAGGCATGGGGTTTCCTGCCTGAGGGGGGGGGGTTGGACTAGATGACCTCCAAGGTCCCTTCCAACTCTGTTATTCTATTCTATTCTAGTCCGAATTCTATTCTATTCTATTCTATTCTATTCTACGTGAGCCCCCCTCCCAAACAAGGGGGGTAGGAGGGATCTGGAAAGGGGGGGGAGGAAAGGGGGGGGCTCAGCTGCCTGTCAGGAGAGGCAGGTGTCCAAGTCAAAGCAGGAAGTCAAAGGGGGGGGGGAAATTCTGGGTTCAAGTTTTACGGGGGAGGAAAAGAGACCGAAAAGGAAATGAGAAACCCACAACGACACCTGTTTGCCCGCCACAGACACACGGGACCCATTCCGTTGGCGCCGCCCCCGTTTCTGTCGTTATTCCCCCCCCAAAAAACAGTCACCAAAGATAGATGTCGAAACCCAGCAGTCTCAATGTGGCGGCGGGGAGAGAACTCAGATAGACTGCCCTGGGACACAGAGGCTCGGCTGGCTGCGGGAAGGGAGGAGAGGGGAGAGGTTTGGGGGAGAAGAGAGGAACAAGGGAGGGTGGGCAGAGAAAGGGGAGGGGCAGGGAATGACCCTTGGGGTAAGGATCCCATCCTCCCCAGCCAGTGATGCCTCCACCCTCCCTGCTGTGCACCATGGGCCGCCCTAATTCACCCCCCCCCAGGGAAACCAGCGCAATCCAACAGGAAAAACAAGCAGGAGAGATTTGGGAATTCTCCCAAAATTAAGGAAGGCAATTGCAGGGGGGGGGTTTTCCTCCCTGCAAGCCAACGCCCCCCCTCCCCAGCAACAGTCAGCTGAGCAAAGAGGGAGGGGCAAGAAGGGGAGGGAGGGGGGGGGTCAAGGCGGGTCTCTCCACCTACCCCTCCTTCTCTCCTCGCCCCCCTCACCCCAACCCCCCCGTGTTTGCAAAACTGCACATTTCCACCGCTGCAATTGCAGCTGGGTCATTGCAACGGGGGGGGGGGGCGCCCAGATGGGACCTGGGGGGGATTGCAAAAGAGGGAGGGGGGGACGAGGGAACCCGGGCGTCACGCCTGCAGACGTTACACACGCCTGCCACCTACCTGTGCAAACTTCAGCTTCGTCCCTGCCTCTCGCGAAGCTCCAGCCTCGCCATTGCGCGCTCTGGCCCTGGATTCGGCTCGGTGGCTTTGGGGGTGGGGGGTGGGGGGGAGAGAGAGAGAGAGGGGGCGAGGGCGCCCTCTGGCGGCGAGGAGGACCTTCCCCCTGCTGCTTTAACCCCTTCCCAGCACGCTCAGGGGGGGATTGCACGTGTGAAGGTGGGGTTGCACGTGTGAATCAGCCCGTTTCTCCCCTCCCTGACTTTTCCCTCCCCTCCCTGTTGGGAAACCAAACATCGAGGTTCTCCCGTGCGGTGCGGGGGGGGGGGGAAAGCTTTGCATTTGCACCCTTC